GGAGAGCAACAGAACCAAAAAATTTGAGCACAGGGGTCTTTCCTGAGACTCATACTCCAACCAGGTACCATGCATGGAGATAACCTAGAACCCCTGCACAGATGCAGCCCATGGCAGTTCAGTGTCCAAGTGGGTTCCATAGTAATGGGAACAAGGACTGCTTCTGACATGAACTGATTGGCCTGCTCTTTGATCACCTCCCCCCTGAGGGAGGAGCACCCTTACCAGGCCACAGAAGAAGACAATGCAGCTACTCCTGATGAGACCTAACAGACTAGGATCAGAAAGAAGAAAAAGAAACCCTCCCCTACCAGTGGACTTGGGGTAGGGGAGTGTATGGAGAAGGGGGAGAAAGGGAAGGGTTGGGAGGGGAGGAGGGAGGGAACTAGAGGGGGGATACAAAGTAAATAAAGTATAATTTAAACAAAAAGAAAGAAAATGACCACTGTAACAAAACCAATTTATAGATTCAATAAAATTCCAATCAGAAAAAAAAAAAAACAACCCACAGAAATAGGGGGATTCCAAGATGGCGGAAACCAGCTCACACCATATCTGAGTGACACAGGATCCAAAATTCCAAAATTGGTGAGTGAAGGGGCAGCTAAAGCCAGACCATCGACATTGAGACTTCCTGGGCAAGAGGGGAAAATACATGAGCTGGGACAGTTTGGATCCAGGTCACCTGTGTACATCTCCAGAGACTGAGAGTGGCAAATATTCAACTCCCTCTGCTTCCCACTGCCCCAAACACAGGCCTCCGTGCAGTATGAGCCTCCCAGGTCTGTGGCTGTGGTGGGCAGCAACTAGCCCAAGCAGGAGCATCCTTGCTTGGTGACTGAGACAACAGAGACAGCTACCCCAATTATGGGTCTCCCTGCCCAACAGCCAAGCAGTGGACACCACTGAACTGATAGTTCTCCTACACTGCCATTTGCACCTGCGGGCCCAGATCTGAGAGTAGAGAGCAGGAAACCTAAGTACTTTCCGAGTATGCCTACAAGTGAGTGATTGCGCCCTCAAGTGATTACTTGCAGAGCCCCAGATCCAGGGTCCCTCTATGCTAGCAGCCAGATATCAGATCCCTCCATCCCATACTCCCACTGTGGGTAACATAGGGATCCTTGGGACAGTGTTCTCAACATTGAAGCCCCTCTTCTGTGGGTCTCCCATTGGAGTCCAGGAAAATAATTCCTGGAGCCCAGACAAAGCTGAATACCAGGAGGACAGTATGACAGGCCTGGGGGCCACTGAGGTATTCAGGGCATCCGCATATGCACGTTGTGCCTACAAACAGTGCCAGTATCCCCCTCTTCTGCTTATGCTCCACCGTACAAGGCATCTACACGCTCTAGCACCCTGTCTTTCAAGGCACACTTCCATACACAAGCCCATGCTTGTGCACATGTGCCCACAACCTTCCTCCCTTAGCTACAGCTAAAACACCAACACCCACTCTCAAACTGGTGGGCCTCTCTCATGTTCCCTGAAGAATACTCCAGACCACAGAGACAGACAGGCCCAATCTGAAGTACAGACTCCAGGAACAAATAACAAAGGTTACAAATAGGCAGATGGCTAGAGGGCAGCATAAGAACACATCCAACAAAAATCAGGACATCAAGGCTTCACCAGCAAACCCCCAAAATCAATGGATATGTTAATTCATCAGAAACACAGAAAAAATGATCTCAAATATATGGTTATCCAGTTATTAGAGGCACAGAAAGAAGAAATGAACAAGGCTCTCAAAGGCAAATATAGTCAAACAAATAGAGGCATAAGTAGAGGCACAAGTACAGGCACATAGAGAGGAAACAAACAAAAAAAATATAGGAAAGACATGAATCCACATTCAAAAAGATAAAGGAAATGGTGCAAGGCATGAAAACAATTAGAATCAATAAAGAAAACAGAAATAGAGAAAACCCCGGAGCTGGAGAACTTAGAGAAATGATCAGGAACCACAAAGGTAAGCATCACCAACAGAATACAAGAAATGGAAGAGAGACTCTCAAGCGCAGAAGATGCAATTGCAGAAATTGATACATCTCTGAAAGAAAAAGTAAAATTGGAAAAGTTCCAAACATAAACATCCAACAAATCAAGGATGCCATGAAAAGACGAAACCTAAGAATGATAGGAATAGATGAAAAAGAGGATTCCAGGCTCCAAGGTCCAGAAAATATTTTCAAGAAAATCATAGAAGAAAAATTTTCCCAACTTAAAGAAAGAGATGTCCATAAACATACAAGAGGCCTACAAAACACTATATAGACTAGATTAGAAAAGAAACTCCTCATGTCACATAATAGTCAAAACACTAAATCTACAGAATAAAGAAAAAAATATTAAAAGTAGCCAGGGGAAAAGGCCAAGTAACATATAAAGGTAGACCTATCATAATCATACCAGACTTCTCAACAGAAATTAAAAAAGCCAGAAGGGCCTGGGCAGATATCATGTGGACTCTAAGAGACAACAGATGCCAACCTAGACTACTATACCCAGCAAAGCTTTCAACCAACATGGATGGAGGAAACAAAATATTCCATGACAGAACTAAACTTAAGCAATATGTAAACAGCAACCCAGCCCTACAGAAGATACTAGAAGGAAAAATTCCAATCCAATGAAATCAACTATAGCCAAGAAAACACAGTATAAAGATAACTTCACAACAAAAAATTAAAAGCAAGCAAGCATAGAAACATAGGAACACCACCAACTCCACAATAAAAGGAACTAACATTAATTGGTCACTATTATCTATCAATATCAATGGACTCACTTATCCAATAAAAAGACATAGACTAACAGAATGGTTGCAGAAACAGGATCCAACATTCTCATCAAAGGAAAAATGCACCAAGAGGACATCACAATTCTGAACATCTTTACCCCATATAAAATAGCACCTGCATTTTTAAATGAAATATTATTAAAGTTTAAATCACACATCGATCCCAACACTTTGATAGTGGGAGACTTCAACACTCCACTCTCACCAAGGGGCAGATCATCTAGACAGAAGCTAAATAGGGAAATAAAGACACTTACAGAGATCCTAAATCAAATGGACCTAATAGATGTCTACAGAACTTTTCACCCAAACTCAAAAGAGTATATTTTCTTTTCAGCACCTCATAGAACCTTCTCACAAATTGACCATATAGTCAGGCACAATGCAAACCTCAGCAGATACAAGAAGATCGAAATAATTCCATGTATCCTGTCAGACCACAGTGGCCTAAAAATAGACCTCAACAACAACAGAAATAACAAAAAGTATACATACACATGGAAACTAAACAAATCTCTACTCAAAGACAGCTTGGTTAGAGAAGAAGTGAAAAAAGAAATTAGACACTTCCTAAAATTCAATGAAAGTGAAGGCACAACCCTTCCCTATCAGTGGACTTGGGGAGGGGCATGGGAGTAGATGAGGGAAGGAGGTGGGGTTGAGATGGGATCAGGGAGTGGACTACAGCTGGGATACAAAGCGAATAAATTATAATTAATTAAAAAATTAAAAATAAAGATATTATGTATATATTTTTAATCTCGGCTGTGGAAATATGAGACTAATCACAGCAGGTTACTATGATTTTCCTTATGCTCTAGCAAGGGTGTGGTTTTGCCAGCTGTGTGGTCTCGTGAGTGTGTGACCTTTGAAATTCTGGGACTATATAAATGATTTATATAAGTGATAGGGTCCTATGAAGTGGGGTTACTGTTGCTGTTATTGACTGGTTGGTTGTTGGATGCTGTTGGTTGGTGATTGTGGTTTGTCAAGTAGTTTTGCACAAAGAGACTAGAATAAATTAGATATCATGACAGCGAAGATGATCCTTTCCCCAAGGAACTTGATGTCGCTAATCAGCAGTAAGTAGTCTAATGATACTCCTTTTCATGTCTATCCTATCTTCTCACCTATCTAGTATTAGCGGTTTAAAAGGGTGGAGAAGGGTAGAAGAGAGAAAAGAACCCACAAAATTGCAAACACAAGCTACAGTAGATTATTTTTGTCGGAACTGAAAATATGATTTCCTTTTTTATGCATGTCTCAGCTGTGAAAGACGCTTGTGCTAGAGCTCTGAAAATTCCAGGGTCCTTTTTCCCTCCACCATTAGACATGTTAAGTGGGGCAGAGAAATTCTTCCAAGTCGTGTAGGTGCTTTGTGCAAAAAAAATGATGACTTATGAAGATAGAATTAAATAGAATTTTTAAAAAGAAGTTTTAAAAAGTAACAGGAAAGTGAATTAAAGTAATTTTCAATATCATAAGAAATTCCACATTGAGGATCTCGTCTTGCATAAAATCTGGAGTATTTTATGAAGTACTTTGATTGATTGAGTAATTGATGATTGCTGATTGATTAGGGGAAAGGCAAACATGTCATGACACTTCCTTCCTTCTAGCACTTATGTCCTGGAGATGGAAATCAGATCCTCAGGCATAGTAACATTTTTAACTGCTGAGCCATCTACTGAACCTGAAAACTTGGACTTCAGATGACTATTTTAAGCCTCTCATGAAGACTTTTATTTCTACAAATATGTCATTAAGTGTTTAGAAATGTGTTTGAACTGACTTGGTCATGTGTTCATTCTATTCAAATCTGTTGAAAGTTCCAAGTTGTGTGAGAATAAAATGATGTTGAGATCTAAATATAGCAAGAAGTTAATAGGTAAGTAGAAGGTTGTTTGTGTTAGAATTTTTAATTTTATTTTTAAACATTTACCTTCATCAGTATCTATTTGTTTGAAAGAACAAATCTTGATTGTTTGAGTTGGGGTTGTTGCTATTGGCTGTTGGCCTCAGTCTACTCTACTGAAACCAGAAGTGTATGACAGCACATCCTACTGCCTCTGAAAACAGTCTAGGTTTCTTCATATTTTGAGTATCTTAATTTTCTCTCTGGCCATTACAACTGTGTTTTAAAGTTCATAAATGAATGGATCACCCTCAGTGACTTACGTGGAACTGTTTCTTTCAGCTTTTTGCCTGAATTCATCAGTGGGGACTTTGATTCTATTAGGCCTGAAGTCAGAGAGTACTATGCCGAGAAGGTAAAGCACACCCTCTTTTATCCTCAAATTCCTGCTCATGGTATTGTTCTGTCTGTCTTGGATGCTGTGTATGGACAGAGAAATCTTACCATTTGGTTTATTTTATAAATTTGGTTGTAGAAGTTTCAATATATATTAACATAGAAACTTTAAAAATGACAAATGGAAAAAAGTATTGGAGAAATTCTATCACCATCAGATACGCATTAATCAGGCTAAGCGAGCATGTTTTGTATGTATTCAATATATTTATAGTTTACTACAACATATTTAACAACTTATTGCTACTTATGCCTTCAGTGGTTATTATATATTTTTTACAAATAAGTTAATCTTATTTAATGAATGGGTTATATTAATATTTTATCTAACCAATTCTCAATTAATGTACTTAAAGTGTATCTGTTTTCTCTCATTGTAAACTATTGAAATAGAAATAAGTTTTTACATATGTGTGCCTTGGTGTACAGCTAGAATTTTAGAATGAAATTTTTTTTTCTATAACAGTTTTTAAAAAAAAAATAAACTACTAAATACAAATTGAGATTATGAATAGCCACACTAGGCGGGCACAGTAGTACATGCCTGTAATCCCAGAGTCAGCTAGACTTCTGTGAGTTTGAGGCCAGCCTAGTCTACAAAGTGAGTCTAAGCCTGGCAAGGCTACACAGAGAAACTCTTTCTTGAAAAAACAAAAAGAATAAGGGGGGGGGTGTATAGAGTTAAACAGAATTCTCAACAGAGGAATATCGAATAGCAGAGGAACACTTAGTCATCAGGGAGATGCAAATCAAAACGACCCTGAGATTCCACTTTACACCCATCAGAATGACTAAGATCAAAAACTCAAGAGATGACACATGCTGGAAAGGTTGTGGAGAAAGGGAAACCCTCCTTCATTGCTGGTGGGAAGGTAAATTTGCACAACCACTTTGGAAGTCAATCTGGCACTTTCTCAGAAAATTAGGAATAGCGCTATCTCAAGATCCAGCTATACCACTCCTTGGCATATAGCTGAAATATGCTCAACCACACAACAAGGACATTTTTGTTCAACGGCATTCATAGCAGATTTATTCATAATAGCCAGAATCTGGAAACAACCTAGATGTCCCTCAGTGGAGGAGTGGATACAGAAAGTATGGCACATTTATACAATTGAATACTACTCAGGAATTAAAAACAAAGTAATCATGAAATTTGCAGGCAAATGGTGGGAACTAGAAAAGATCATCTGAGTGAGGTATCCCAGATGTAGAAAGACACACATGGTGTATACTCACTTATAAATGGACATTAGCCATATAATTTAGGATAAACATACTAATAAAATCTATTGTTCTAAAGAAGCTAAACAACAATGATGACCCTAGGGAAGAGGCATAATCCTCATTCAGAAGGGCAAACAGTATGGACATTGGAAGTACAAGAAGACAGGGAACAGGACAGGAACCTACCACAGAGGGCCCCTGAAATACTCTACCCAGCAGGGTATTGAAACATATGCTGAGACTCACAGCCAAAGTTTGGGCAGAGTGCAGGGAATCTTATGGAAGAAGGGGAAGATAGAAAGACAAGGAGGGGACAGGAGCTCCACAAGGAGACCAACAAAGCCAAAAAATCTGGGCCCTGCGGATCCTGCAGAGAGTGATGAATTAACCAAGGGCCATGCATGGAGAGAACCTAGAACCCCTGCACAAATGTAGCCCATGGGCAGCTCAGTCTACATGTGGGTTCCCTAGTAAGGAAATCAGAGGCTGTCTCTGATATGGAGTTAGTAACCTGCTCTTTTATCACCTCCCCCTGGTAAGGTGGCCTCACTAGGAAACAGAGAAAGATCATCCAGGCAATCCTGATGAGACCTGATAGGATAGGGTCGGATAGTAGGAGAGATGGACCTCCCTGTCAGTGTACTAGGGGAGGGACATAGGGAGGGATAAAGGAGAGAAGGTTGCTCTGGGAGGGGTTGAGGGAGGGGTCTACAGTCGGATACAAATGAATAAATTATAATAAATAATGATAATAAAAATAATTTAAAAGCTTTGTCTAGAAAAAAAATGGAAGAAAAAGAAAAACAAAACAAAGGAATATCCTTAGTTCTTCGCTATTGTGCAAATCTTCCCCAGGTCCTTGACACTTAAAAATTATATGAAAGTTCGAACTGGGTATGATGGTGTTGCATAGTAGTGAATTACAGTAGTTACTGATTAAGGGTTTGTAACTCCCACTCCTACGTGCCCTTGCACAAACATTCATTTGGAGCAACATTCATATCCATAAACAAAATCTAAAAAGAAAAAAAATTAAAGAGGGCAACCTTTTCCTGGCGCAAGGCCCCTGATAGTAGCATTATCTCCCCAGCCTCTGTGCATTTGTATTTGGTGTGTGTGTGTGTGTACATATTTAAAGGAAAAAAGGGATGGAATAGGAAAGACAGAGCTGGAGGTAGGAGAGAGTTGGGGTGGAGATTATGTAAAAACCAGTACTTGTGTGTAAAATTCTCAAAACAAAACAAAACAAAACAAAAACAACAAAAGAATATTTTAGGAAAGAAAGACAAGAAGTAGCAGAGGAAGGGGAACACCAACCCACTCACAAAAACTTCTATTCAGAGTTTACCCTGCCTACAAGATGTGCAGGTAGAGCAGAATGGAGGAAATGTCTAACTGATGCCTGGCCCAACTAAAATTGGCCTATGGGAGAGTGCCAACCCCAGTTACTATGAACCATACTATACTAAGCTTGCAGACAGGAGTTGTCCTCTGAGAGACTCTACCCAGCAGCATCTTAAAACAGATGCAGAGACTCACAGCCAAACATTGGATGATGCTAAGGGAATCGTGGGGAAAAGGGAGAGAAAAAAGGACCTGGAGGTGACAGGAGCTCTACAAGGAAACCAACAGAGCCAACTAACCAGGGCCCAGAGAGGCTTGCTGAGGCTCAAGCATCAGTGAAGGACCACGCATGAACTGGACCTAGCTCCTCTACAAAGATGTAGCAGATGGGCTGCTTAGGCCTCATGTGGGTCCTCTCTTAAGGGAAGTGGGGACTGTGTGGGCAAGGACTCACTTGCTAGCTTTTTTGTTCACTTTCTCCTGGTGAGACTACCTTGCCAGGCTATAGGGGAAGAGGACAAACTCAGTCCTGATGCAACTTGATGAGCTGGGGTGGATGGGAAAGGGAGCTCCTCTTTTCTGAGGAAAAGGGGGGGGGGAGGTTGGATGAGACTGGGAGGGTTGGAGGGATGGGGTACAACAGGATGTAAAGTTAATTTAAAAATAGTAATAAGAATAATAAATGTCATAAGTGATCCAAGGCTGATGTGAATGCAGATTCTGGGATTGGCTGGAATGCAGATTTGTGCAAGTCCCACCTGCATACCAGCTGATCAGCCTTCCTTCTGCAAATGAAGATCATTCCCAAGTCAGTGTTTGATATTCATGCTCAATTACCTCAGCATTGGCATGTTCCTGTTCATTCCCCACAGCCTCACTTCTCATTAACTCCATCCCTCAGCCTTGCTGGGAAGGAGCTCTGGCCTTGCTTACAATGCAGAGTTGTGCTAATGCACAGGTATTAATCATATTTTCAGGAGCAGAGCAAACAGAGGGAGAGGCAGGGACCAGCATACTCAAAAATAAGCTGAATATATGGTCAGAGCCGTCTTATCTCCTGTCTCTTAAAGCTGACGGCTTGCCAATGTCAGAAATGTCAGTTTGATCATTATTGTCCAGGATGAGGAAATGAGCTTCTGTAAGAAAGTTCTGGATGTTTTACATTGGGATTCAGCAATAAAGGAAATTTTTCAGTTAATAGTTGATGGATTTCTCTTGTATTTCTTGCTTTGCTTGTTCTTCAACTTTGAAAAGTCACGTGTGTGTGTGTGTGTGTGTGAGAGAGAGAGAGAGAGAGAGAGAGAAAGAGAGAAAGAGAAAAAAGAGAGAGATTTGGTTTTAAAAGTTATATCTATCCATTTCTTCTTATTTCAAAGCTTCATAGCACAATTCAAGTGTTCTCTGTGTCCTGAGTGTTAAAGTCTCTGCTTTTGAACTTCGTGGGCATGCTCCTAGAGGGCATAGGTGATGCCCTTCATGCAGTTTCTGTGCCCCTCAGAGTGCACTATGGGTGTTTGCCTGTGAGGTTAGTAATGATGATAATTACAAGTTAATGCAACATTACACACAATTTCTATAAGCCATTATCTCCGACTTCAACAATCTGTAAGCTTCTCTTTCACAAGTGAAATGACGTTATCTTCACTTTTACTTTCATCTGGACCCCAGGCTGGTCTGAGACTTCAATGAACTAAAACTCGGGCTCCAGTAAAGAAATGACATTCAGAGTATTAAAATATTGTTGCAGTCTTCGAGTAATCATAGAGCAGCATGGACCCATATGTAGCTGAACTTTGCAGAGAGTATACAATCTTGTGCTTACTGTGTACTAGAACTTTCTTTCAGGTAACTACAACATCTCTGTTTGCCTTAGTTCTTCCAGCATGGGTCACTGTTTTTAATTCAGTGAGCAATGTCTCTTAACAATGCTTACATTGTTTGATTGATTGATTTTCACTTTGGCAATTCAGAGCTTCTTATTTATTTATTTATTTACTTATCTATCTATCTATCTATCTATCTATTTATTTATTTATTTATATTTATTCATTCATTTACTTACTTACTTACTTATTATCTCTTACAATTTAATCACTTTGTATCCCAGCTGTAGCCTTCACCCTCATCTCCTCTCAGTCGCACCCTCCCTCCCTCCGTTCCCCCTATGTCCCTCCCCTAGTCCACTGATATGGAAGGACCTCCTCCCCTCTGTCTGACCCTAGCCTATCAGCCTGTCATCAAGGCTGTCTGCACTGTCTTCCTCTGTGGCCTGCCAAGGCTGTCTATCCTCCCCCATAAAGGGGAGGGGACCAAAGAGCCCATCACCAAGTCTATATCAGAGAGCTGAGGACCCTGTAGTGTTACAGTTGCAGAGGCAAAGACATG